AGGCACTAGGCTCAAAGGGCCAGGGATTTGCCAGCTGGCCCCAGAAGAACATTCTGTGAGAAATCTGTGCCTCTGCTATCACCCCAACACATGGCAGTCAGGCTGGCCTGTGCTGCCAGGGACCAGCCACTACACTGACTTTACTACATGGCTAGTTTGTGTAAACCCCTGTGTTAGAAAGGGTGTACCCATGTGGGCTTGTGATCAGTGGCTCCCAGAGTTTAGGATTTCATGACACTGTCCCCGCACCCCCTGCCCAATAAAAGAGGGACACTGGCAAATGGTTGGCAGCTTTTAATTCTGGCAGATAAGAATATTATTTAAAACATAGTATCTTCTACCAATATAATTTCATAAAAACGTGAACATTTAAACAATTATTTAAATTAAAAAAACAAAACCTAAGAACAGTTACAATCTCTCCATTGTAGCCAAAGAATGTCGCCTGCCATATCAGTAAACAAAGGATGTTTTGGCCGTCAAGCCATCAGCCATTGCAGCTGGTATGATAACTTGGTATGATATTTTCATAAGTTATAAAATAAAGGTAAATGAGATAAAGAGTTTTCAGGTGAACTCTTTAGGAATAATTATGGTTTGGTATGTCTATCTAAAATAGTTTCTCCAGGTTTTTGGTAACTTGAAACTTTATTGCTAAATTAACTTAAATGAAGAGAATTCATTTAATAGCCAGGTCATTTTGAATAAGATAAAATACTGGAACATTAATTGCTAAACAGGTCTGCTTTTGTCTTCTTATGAGAGGAAAACTAAAGATGTTTGGGGTTTATTAGACACATTTCTTGCACAACACTGAGAAAAGAAATTATGCTATCAGAAGAAGTATGTTTCTAGAGTTTATGAAATATTCCTAAATTTGCCAACCAGGAAATGCTGGTATGACCAACAGTTCACAATTACTTGCAGCTTGTCAGTTTTCACTAGAGATTAAAGATTTTAAGGGTTAAAATTGTAATATGTAAATAAAGCTCCTAGAAATAATAAGGGAAACATGTCAGTACGCAAGGAAAGTAGGATGTGTGTTTTCAACAAGAGAAGGTATGAAAAATGGAAATACATTTTCTTAAGGGGCAAGGGTGATTTTGTCCTACAGCTTGTTATCTCTAAATGGAACAGGAGAATAAGAGATAAACTAATACAGACACAGAAAGTTGTGGAAGGTTTGTAGAAAGGGAACCCTGAGAGAAGAGTTTTGTACATGGTAGGCTGGGATTGGGTTAAATATAATAGGTAAATAAATTTTGTTATTGAGGGTGGGCTGGTGCAGGATTGGAATTCGGTTCTCTCTCTCTGTTAAGAGAACGAAGTTTTCTTGGAATGTTGAGTTACTTTTAATAACAAACTGTGAATTTATTTACCTTCTAAATGATCTGTATTTGCCTTAAAAATCTTTTATTGTCACTTTGGCTGAATAAATAAGTATTGTTTCACAGCAACCTATGATCCTATTTAACCAAGTGTTTTAAAACCTTTTGGTATCTTTCACAAACTTCCCCTAGTCAAATTCTAAATAAAGTTCATTTGACCTCCAGCTAACTTTGGGATGCTTCAAAGGGCCCCTGAAACAACCCAAAGGGAGATATTAAATTAACTAGGTTTATTTATGTTAAATTACATGAGAAACATTGTCAAATAAGTGGTGATAAAACCTTCTTAGGCTGGGATGAATGAGAGAGTAGCACTGACAGATATACACTACCATGTGTAAAATAGCTAGCTAGTGGGAAGCAGCCGCATAGCACAGGGAGATCAGCTCAGTGCTTTGTGACCACCTAGAGGGGTGGGATAGGGAGGGTGGGAGGGAGGCGCAAGAGGGAGGGGATATATATATATATATACATATAGCTGATTCACTTTGTTGTACAGCAGAAACTAACACAACACTGTAAAGCAATTATAATCCAATAAAGATGTAAAAAAAAAAAACCTTCTTAGGTTAGATGACTTTAACATGTATATATTCCAAAATTTATATGGCATTCCTAAAAGTCTGATACGTCCTGGTATAAGGTTATCAGGCATAATTCTAGTTATTATCTTAAAATGTTGTATGTCACAGAAATATCCAAGTTCCTTGTCAATTGCATTATAATCAAATATTTAACCATGCCATTTTAAGTCTTTTGCTGTTTATAAACAATCATTGTTTTACTCTGATGCTTTCATAAAATGAAGATCTTCAAGAAGGTTCATAAAAAGGACTTTTTAACAATTATAAGTTTCTGATAACTTTTAGATCATACCACTGAACTGGGTAAGAAATTAAAAACTCTAATGGAAAACCTGATGATTTCATCCAGATCAACAGGAATTAATTACACAGGACTGAATGAACTGATAAATATGGTTTATAATTTTATGACTTTTAAAAAATATACTGGCTTTTAATCTTTGCTTTCTAGAAAACCTTTCCTCTTACACTAATTATGACCTACAACAAACTGATAAAGTATACTTTTGTAAAGAAGATGAAATATTTATCTTTTTCTCTCAACCTGATCCTTCCAGAATTTGGCTTCTCCACCTGGCTCCCCTGTGGACCTGATGGCTTATTGTGACCAGATTACAAATAGTTTACTAATCATTGTTTTAATGTGCTCTCTCTTGTTGTTTTCAAATTATTTATGCCTTGTGGCTCTCTCTGTTGCACTATGACTTTATTAATGTTGCTAGTTGTATTACTTATATCCTGTCTGTTTTATAAGATTGTTGTCTCCTGCATTACGAATGTGTAACCTGGCCTTCAACAAAATTAATGACATCTCAGGATAGTTGATCATATATGTAGCTCTATATAGAATAATTGTCATAGTGCAATTCTAGGTATGAGAAAAAGCAACAAGGGAAAACATTTCCTGGATTATGCTAAACTCGTAAGCCAGGCGATCCAGAGAATTTTAGATTATCAGCACAGTGAGTGGCCCAGAATTTTTGCCTGGTCTAGGAAGACTTCCCAGTGCCTTGGGACAAAATTGCTCATGGAATGCCTCCCAAATGTTGGCTGAATTTATGACCAAGATGAGGCCCTGTGGACAAAGAATGTTGCCTTATCAGCAAACAAAGGATGTTGTAGCCATCAAGGCATCAGTCACTGCAACTGCTTCCAGCAGCGCACCCAAAAAAAGATACTGGCCCTAGATAGTTAAGATGCATATCAAAGGAATAATTTCATTAAGCCCAGACTCTTGCATCTTCTCATAAGTAGGAAAGCACTAAATTCATTAACTTGAGATGTCTGTTTTTTCTTTAAATGACAGTAATATTTTGGTGTTTGACTACCTGGATTTTTGTTTGTTTTTCAAAAACTCCTATATATCCTGGCTTCTCCCTTACTTCTTTAGAACAGTCCCTCAGAGCTATCTGAGAGCCCATCTCCTGGGCTTACATCCTCAGTATGCCTGCTGAATAAAACATAATTCTCAACTTTTAGGTTGTGCTTTTTTTTCAGATAACACCATCAAACGACGTTTGGCAATTCTGAAGTGACATATTATTTTGAAATAAGGATATATTTATACTTGTTTCAAATGGAAAAATCACAACGTAATATTTTATTTATCACTGCCACCTCTGGTACAGTTAGTGGTGCTTGAGCCTGGACCTCTCTATGGTCACAGGCTCTTGTGGAGATTTTCTTAGCAAGCCCAGCACCCTCAATGTTTCAGCTAGATGATGTCAGGTATGATAGGGGTTCCTTACCCTATCTTTTATAGTTCCCTTGTTTCTACAAAAACAGAAGAATCTTTGCATCTCTCTACCAAGTGAAGAATTACAATTCATTATTACTTATAGGTAGCTCCTTAAAATGCTTTGTTAGCTAGTATCAGTGCTCAAAAAGATATGTCATCCCCCACTGTAAAGGTGATATCTCCTCCTGTCTTAGTTTGGGTTCTCTCAGAGGCAGATTCTGAAAAAAGGATTGGAGTGCAAGTAGGTTATTTGGAAGGGGATCTCGGTAGAGGAATGGGGATGTGAGACAGGGAGGGAAAGGCAGTTCATAGAGAGGAAGCACTCACAAGCCCATTGCCACTGGGGCAGCTGGGAGACTCCTTGGAAACTGCAGAGTACCCCTTGGAGTGTTGTACCATAATTCCCACCTGTTACTGGTTGAATGCTGCTCCTGAGGGCATGGATTGCCCAGCACTTGCCACTCACCCTGTGCACAAGCCACGTGAGCTTCTGCAACCAGAGCAAAAGTCTTCAGGAAGAGTCACAGAAGCCAAGTGCTTTAATCGTAGCAGGGAGTGCTACAGAACGTGGGTAGGGCACCAAAGGAATCTGCTATCCCCACTTCGGCAACCTCTGAACTCTTGATATGAAATCATATCACAGACCCTGCCCTTTGATAGATAAAGAAGGAAGAATTATGACTCACCTCAGCCCTTAAAGGAAAAAGGAAGGGCCTTCTTCCCCAAAGAGCCACATCCTATTTTTCCATGGGTGGCCAGACAACCTCCAATAACCCTTGTCCCGAATCTGTGGGTGAGACCACTGCTGCACATCACGGTGATAAAATGCGTACACTCAAGACAAAAATCTTCCACTAATACCACGGGACTTTTACTAACAATGACCTAGACTAGAGATGGCAAACTGATTCCACCTGTGGGTCAACACTGATCAGTTGGTGGTGGCTGCCAGAGCACTGCGTTGAGAAGAATTCTGAAGCATGGAGAGAAAGAGTGTGTTATGGATTAGGGCAGCTGGGTACATATACATAAGGGGTACCAATAAAAATCACTGAAAGACTTCAAAATCCTTTCAGGAATGTACTATGTGTGTACATATGCTACTGGAAGGAACATTTTCATAAGATCCTTGGAGGTTGTGTGTGGATGAGGCACGCAATGGAACCCTCAGAAGGCAGCATGCTCTAGTTACATCTCGAGTGGGGGCTGGGTGGAGGATAGACGGACAGTTCAGGTTTTACCGTTGACATGGTAGACAAAATTACATTTAAAAGTCTCTTAAGGGCTTACCTGGTGGCACAGTGGTTGGGAGTCCGCCTGCCGATGCGGGGGACGCGGGTTCGTGCCCCGGTCCGGGAGGATCCCACGTGCCGCAGAGCAGCTGGGCCCGTGAGCCATGGCCGCTGAGCCTGCGCGACCGGACACTGAGCCTGCGCGTCCGGAGCCTGTGCTCCGCAACAGGAGAGGCCACAACAGTGAGAGGCCCGCGTACTGCAAAAAAAAAAAAAAAAACTCTTAAAATGTCCTAAAGTTGCTAGTATCTGGGCCCTCAGAAGCTTAAAAGCCTGTACAGTTAAACCCCCAAATGCAAACATGATGCAACCGTTCTACATGGTCCCTAACTGGCCTTCTAAGGTATCCACAGGGGTCAGGTCTGGTAAGCTGAGGGCTTTTATTTTGTTGAGTGGATTGTGTAACCTGGTGGCTGCCTTTAGCTGCCTTCCTTTCTCTTCCCACACCTGGTGCTCTGCTCCTCCTCTCATACTCAATATTGACAAAATGAGGAAGTTAGGCCCCCATCTCACATAACACAGGAAATCACATTTCAGATAGATCAATAAGCTAAATGTAAAAGATCAAAATTATTTTAAAAACCTAAATTCGGGGAGTTCCCTGGTCGTCCGGTGGTTAGGATTTAGCGCTTTCACTGCCATGGCCCAGGTTCAATCCCTGGTCAGGGAACTGAGATCCTGCAAGCCTCAGGGCGTGACCAAAATAAGAAAAAAAAAGAAAAAAAAAGAAAACAACTTAAAAGTTTGATAATATCCAGTGTTGGCAAGGATGTGCAGCCATGGGTACAATTAACTAAGAGGACTATTTCTACTAAATTTTTTACTTCGTTTCTGGTTATCTATCCTGTAAAAATACTAAGTAAATACTAAGACACCTGTACAAGGTTATTCACTGCAGCATTGTTTATAATAGTGGAAAAAAATTGGAAATAACCAAAATATTCCTCAAAGAAATACGGCTAAATAAATTAAGATGCATCCTTATAGAATGTTACACAGCTTTTTTTAAAAAAAAAAATAAGGTAAATATATACACAATGACAGGGAAATAGCTCTAAGACATGTTAGAACTTACTTGAATTCAATTTCTTCATCTGTAAGGTGGAGAGGTTGGACAAAAAAAATCGCTTAGAGTCCTTCTAACTTCACTCTATGAAAACGGAAGTACATCATATGGCTCAAGAATTTTGTGCACCTAAAAATAGAATTGTCCCCTTTTCAACTTTTTCCCTGGGAAAATCTAAAATTCACAAAACCTGTAACTCCCTTTCTACTTTTTCTCCTTTCTCCAGGTTAAATCTTTCTTTCTCAATTCAGATGATCAAAATATCTTGGAATCTAAAAGTAAATAATAAAACTCTGAGAGTAAATATGTTCAAACAGCTTTACTAAGCGAAAAACCCCTGAATACGTGGGTTTCATAGACAGTACACTCCAGGGCCAGCAATTAAACAGGTCACTCTACATCCTCTGGGTAATATTGGTGACATTGATCAGCAATGGCCTGCTTGGCTAGAAGAGGGCTGTATTTTTTTATTTTTCTTATTTTTAAAAGGCTACGTTTCTTTTCTTTTTAATATTTATTTACTTATTTATTTAGGCTGTGCCAGGTCTTTGTTGCAGCATGCATGCTGAGATCTAGTTCCCCAACCAGGGATCGAACCCAGGCCCCCTGCATTGGGAGCTTGGAGTCTTACCCACCGGACCACCAGGCAAGTCCTGAGGGCTATGTTTATATGAGGAGGAGAGGCCTCATAACCAATGACTGGGGTGTCCTGGAGAAAACTGGTTCCAATTAGAGGGGACTCCAAATTTACATGTGTCAAAAACAATCTCCTAGGAACTGATAAAATAGAAAGGATCTAATTTTAAACAGACAGGAAAGATAACCTAAGGAAGCAGAAGTTTCATTCCGTTTTGACTAGATTTCCATAACCACTTGAGAACCTAGAGTTCCTCTGATGCCCTGGTAGGGAATTTGCTTAACCTTTCTGGGCCCCAGTTCCCCCTATGGAAAGCAGTTATGGGACTTCTGACTCATCTTTCAGGATCATTTTGAAGAAAGGTGAATATTAGAAAATCCATCTGAAAAAAGAAGAGAACACATCAGTCACTGAGGGAAAACCAGGACATAGGGCATAACAAACAATAAATTATCTACTGCCTAAGAAGGTCCTGGAACCAATATAGACAATTATTTTGGTTCTTATTTACAGCCAGAGAGGCCTCTGAAGCTCATTAGAGTCTGGAATTACTTCATACTCTGGGCTGGAAATTTCAAAGGAAAATTTCAAGAAATTCTGAAGGAAACTTCCAAATCCACTAGCTGGTTTGCTCTTCACTAGATGTTAACTGGATTATTTACTTTTAAAAATCAGGCTGAATTTTGCACTACTGAGCCAAATTTTGCATCTCTGAGCAGCTCTTGCTGTTGTCAGTGTAGCTTCCACGTGTGGACAGGAGAAGAAAATACGGGCCATTGTCCTACCAGATGCAAATTATGGTCCCGATTCAACAAAAAACATCTGTTCTCCACACAGGAAAAAATAAGAACAGACTCTGAAGCCAGACTGATCTTTTGTGACATGGCACCCTGCTCTTGTAGAAATTCACGTTGTGGTTTGTGATTAGCAAACAAAAAGAAAAAAAAGATTCTGAAATTCACATGATTTGTAATTTTTCTCAGTTTTGAGGCCTGTGTTAATGATAAAAACTATTAAATTTTAATTAGAATAAACTGATAGCTTTTTGAAAGAGAGAAAGAATTTTGAAAGAAGAAATTGTCTGACATAGCTATACATAACAAAGTTGATGCTATATTCCATCATTCTCTCTGGACCTTTGAGAAACCAATACCCAATAAAAAGCAGTATCAATAATATAACTGGGGGCTTCCCTGGTGGTGCAGTGGTTGGGAGTCTGCCTGCCGATGCAGGGGACACGGGTTCGTGCCCCGGTCCGGGAGGATCCCACATGCCACGGAGCGGCTGGGCCCGTGAACCATGGCCGCTGAGCCTGTGCGTCCGGAGCCTGTGCTCCGCAGCGGGAGAGGCCACAACAGTGAGAGGCCCGCGTGCCGCAAAAAAAAAAAAAAAAATTTATATATATATATATATATAAACTGATTTCATAATTTTCTGTAGTCACTGATGATTCTTTCATTGAAGGTATGAATGACTGAGATTGTTGGTGGACTACATATAGATCACACCCCTCAAATTAATCAAATATATTTGATCCTACCTACTTGTAATAGAATAATACTATAATATTAATCTTACAGTTCTCAATTCTTTGTATTCCTACCCCTCTCCCATCATTTCAGCAGCAGAGAGGGCTTTTTTTTTTTTTTTTAAGCCTAGAGCTTTAGACAGCTCTGGGATATTTATTTATTAAAAAAATGGTTTTTCTTGGCTGCATTGGGTCTTAGTTGCGGCACATGGGATCTTCGTTGAGGCATGCGGGATCTTTGGTTACGGCGGGCGGGCTCTTCGTTGTGGTGGGTGGGCTTCTCTCTAGTCGTGGCTCGCGGGTTTTCTCTTTTCTAGTTGTGGCGCGCGGGCTCCAGGGCGCATGGGCTCTGTAGTTTGCGGCACACAGGCTCTCTCATTGAGGCGTGAGAGCTCAGTAGTTGTGGCGCGCGGGCTTAGTTGCTCTGAGGCATGTGGGATCTTAGTTCCCCGACCAGGGATTGAACCCTAGTCCCCTTCATTGGAAGGCGGATTCTTGACCACTGGACCACCAGGGAAGTACCAGGGCTTTTGTTTTGTACTGCTCCTAAGGTAGTGTCTAAACAGCTAAAATGCAGAGAAAGAAACTGATTCAATGCCTGGCTTTGAGTTTTAAAATCTTGGCTTTGATGATCAAGAGCAAACATGAAGGAGTGTGCCCAACTAGAGTACCCTAGTCAGTAATGAGCACTGATTTTTTTTTTCTTTTTCTTAATAGTAGTTGTTAGAAAATGGTTTTTATTATTTTATGACTGTTAGTCATTTGTACTTCCTCTTTTGTGAATTGTCTGTTTTTATGTTCTTCCCATTTTTGAACTAGAATCTTAGATTTCTCCCCCTTATTTACTTTCACATTGATATGCCATATATGCAGCCAATATTTTCTCAGTTTGATATTTCTTTTTAAATGTAGCTTATAATTTTTTTGATCTGTAGAGTTTAACAGGGTTTTTTTTTGGTTTTTTTGCTGTACGTGGGCCTCTCACTGCCATGGCCTCCCCCGTTGCGGAGCACAGGCTCTGGACGCGCAGGCTCAGCGGCCATGGCTCACGGGCCTAGACGCTCCACGGCATGTGGGATCCTCCCGGACCGGGGCACGAACCCATGTCCCCTGCATCGGCAGGCGGACTCTCAACCACTGCGCCACCAGGGAAGCCCCGAGTTTAACAGTTTTATGTAATCAAATCTACACCTTTTTTTTCCAGATGATTTCCTCCATGGCTCATAAACTTAAGATAGTTTTTATCCATACACAGCCAAGAGAAGCATTCACTCATACTTTCTTCTATTTTGTTTGTAGTTTGATTTGTTACAACAAATTATTCTACCAGGTATCTTGTTCAATCCATCAACAAGTATTTCCTGAGCATCCATCTGCCGTGTGACAAAGTAACAGGTGTTAAGGATAAAGCAGTAACCAAAACACTTAGAGAGTAACAACTGGCTATTTCCAAACTGTTAAGTAGTGCTGGGGAAATAGGTTTGGCTGCTATTGGTACAGTATTGAGCCCAGTGAAGTCGGTCAGGGTTGAGAACTACTGGAACCTCTGCAAACCTTAGCTTTTTTTTCCGCAGAGAATCCCCCTGAGTTAACTTGATAAACTAACACAATTCCTGCAGCAGTCTAAATCTGATTAACCATAGAGCATTAATATGCTCCAGGTACTAGACAAAAGGTCATCAGCAACAAAGGAACCAAGAGAACTACTTGAGAAGGACTTAGAGAAACAACAAAATACACCTTCACCAAGATTTCGAATCAGGATTCAGAGCAGCAGGGCTGTCGGAGATGATTTAGACTTGGCCTTTGCATGATACACAATTAAAGAAAACCTTAGAACAACCTGTAAATGTGAAAAAAAGAGAACAAAGTCAACTGTAATTAAAGACAGCCTCTGAGTGTTTCACCAGCATCAGGCTAAGTTTGTCATTCAAACTTAACCTGACGCTGCCTTTTGGGCTCAGTCTGTGACCTGGGAGGTGCTGGGCCCAATGGATAGGATTAGAACTGCTTTGTGAGGGCACTGTTTGCTGCTGGGCCTTGAGCAATGGCCTGACCAGAGGATCCCTTTCTGCCTCTCACTCCTGGCCCCAGGACTGGCTTGTCCCTGCAAGCTGTCCCAGTTGGGCCTCATCTCTCAGTGTTTCAGAGCTGCTGTCTGCTGGACCTGCTACCACATGACATGCTATCTCCTAACACGGCACACCCAGCATCGCCATTGGACATTCAGCCTTAAGAAATTCCTGGAAAACTGATAAGGAAAGGAGGGGGAAACTCTTTGCAACCTGCTGCTGTGATTTAAAAGTTGGTGAGTATGATGGTTAATTTTGTGTCATATTGGCTAGGCTGTGGTATCAGATTATTTGGTCAAACATGGCTGGATGTTGCTCTGAAGTTCCTTTTAAGATGAGATAAACACTGAAATCAATAGACTCTGAGTAAAGCAGATCACTCTCCATAATGTGGGTGGGCCTCATCCAATCAGTTGAAGGCCTTAAGAGAAAGACTGACATCCCCCGAGGAAGAGGGAATTCTGCCTGCAGACTGCCTGTAACGTCAGCTCTTTCCTGGGTCTCTAGCCTGCCAGCCTGCCCTGCAGATTTTGGACTTACCAGCCTCTACAATCACGTAAATCAATTCTTTAAGATACCTTCCTATCCATCTATCTATCTATTTATCTATCATCTATCTACCTGTCTCCTATTGGTTCTATTTTTCTGAGAACCCTGACTACTACAGTGAGTAGAGGGCTCAAGTAACCCTACTTTGGGCTTAGACTGAGGAAAGAGCTGAGGAGTAGGATATCTCCTTTACTTTTTATTTGTATACATATAACATAATCATGGTTTTGCCAGAAAAGTCAGGACTAACTAGGACTAAATAGTCCTGATTTGCATGATGTAATTAAATGCATCAATATTTTGTGTTTCCATGATTTCCAGATGTTTTATCACCCACACTCACTTGAAAACCATTCACCTGACTGTACAAGATTTCTTTTCCCAACCCACTGCCATGCTTCTCTTCTCAAGCTGTACAGCCCCTCAATAGGAGGAGTCTGGCCAATTCCATGAAGTGTTTTCAGGAATGAAATGATATAATCCCCAGACTGAGCATTTGTACAGTGTATCACAGTTTAATAAGGTGTTTTTACATACTGTTATATATTCTTCTAAATAATTATATAAATTAGGTAAAAGAGGTATAATTATTCTACCTCCCTCCATTGTGCCAAAGAAGAAACTGAAGGCCAAGAAGTGTGAACGTGTCATAAAGCTAGTCTATTCAGTGAGTCTATGGCCAAGCCAGGATTAGAAATCAGTTCTCCCATGCCCTCACATAGCACTTTTTCTTACCACCCAAACATGTATCTGACCAGGTAAGCAAACTCTTTGCCAGATTAGAGTGCCAACTCAGCATCCTAAAAAGGAAATTTACTGTCAGTGATTTTTGACAATGAGATGAGAGGAAAGGGAAGCTGGGGCAGTGGGAATCAGGCTTAGCTAGGGCTGAGGGTAGCTGGAGAGCTGGAAGTTCAGGGAGTAGCTGGTGAGTCATTTCCATTTTTCTACAAAATGAATTTCTAAAGTGTAACAAGGGACTCAAGGCTTTTATTCCTCCTTTCTGCAACTTGTCAAAGTAAGTTTAATTCAAATGGACCCTATTCTGGAAAGCAATTCCTAATTACCAAGTCAAAATTAATCACTAAGTCTTCTGTGTGCTCATTCACATCTTTTATTATAGGACTAATCATATATTAGACAGGCATGTCTCCCTAACTAGACTACGAGTGCCTTAAGGGCAAGGACTGGGTCTTTCTCTGTGCACTCATTCAACTAAGATTGCAGGCACCTCT